CGGGCTGTAAACCCGGGAGCCGCGCTCCGTCGTAATTAAAACAGACCAACGCTTTCTGCAGGAGGTTTGGAGACAGGGGCTGCTGTCACGCTTAGCAAAAGCAGGTACGCTGCCGCACGAGGCTGGCGACGAGCAAAACGTCGATACGGGAGCTGTGTAGGGGGTGACCCCTGATGTCTTGGTTCGGCCTGATTTATTATCTCTGCTAATTATTCCAAGAAATCAGTGTTTGAATGAAACTTGCTGGTGATACTACGTGAGAAGGAGGGCAAGTATCATTGAGGAGCTAATGTGAAAGAATCCAGCTGTATATATGTGAGATAATGAATCAGACTTAGCTTGGGAAAATGCGGGCAAAATTTGCAGAGGGAAAATCAGTATGAAACACCCTGAAAGGATGGCGAGCCCTACGCGTTAGCACTTCATATTCGTTACGTCTTTGCCAATAGCATCTTCAACATCGTGGCATCCCAAGGTGCTCTTTTTTGGGCAAAGATCAAAGATGACACACTGCTGTCTCATTTTTTCTTTTTCTTTACATTCTGTTAAAGTTAGGGTAATAAAGAAATGCACCTAAATTATAAAGAGGAAAATTCGGCAAAGGCAGCGGTGCTGACGTTCTTGCGCACGCTGATTGGGGCCAGGGGGGTTGCAGGTTTCCACGCAGCTGCGCAGAAATCTTGCTGCCTTTAGGAAGAAGTGGACAAAAATCTTTCTCTGATTAGAAGCATGCAAGATTCCCCGCGTTCCCAAACAACCTGTAACCGCATACCTGGGAAAAATATATATTACCCTTACGCATACAGCCAGCTGCTGAAACAGAAAATACCTTTTTTCTTCACAAGCTCCAGACCAGCTGCTGCAGAAAGCATTTAAGCAGCGCGGACAAACAGCAGCCTCCGTGCTAGCAGCAGACCGACTTTGCATGCACGGGGTGGCAGCGCTGATGGTTTTCACTAGCTCACTCCAGGGCTTGTGCTCCACCCTTCTTTTTTTTTTTTTCCTTTCCCCTTTCAGCTTTTGCAATCTGACCGAGGAGGGTGAGAGCAAGTTGAGGGAAAAGCCATTCCCCCGAAGAGGAGCCGGAGAACAGTCCCGGTCCCTGTCCGCGCTAGGTGCAGGACAGACAGCCGAGCCACTTGCTTTAGCCTAAAAACATCCAACCAAACAAACAAACCCAGGAGACACATTCGTGGTTGAACTGATTTTGCAGGTAAGGCACTTTTTTAAACCCAGCGTTTTGATAGCGCTTCCTAAACAGGAAGTTACATTTGCTCCGAGGCAAAGCAGTGCGGAAACCGGCTTGGTTGCATAAGAGCAGAGCGAGAAAGAGGCAGTGGCGTTCGGATGCTGCCTTTCATGTCGGTGCAGCAGATGGGCTCGTTTATTTACTGGGTGATCAGCCGCCAACAGATCGGGCGTTGGGGCCAGCTGACTGACCTTCAGGTACCGCTGTTGAGAGGGCCTCGGAAACCACCGCAAGAGACGGACAGACAGACCCCCCCCCAACCCCGCACCAATAAGGTTCTTCCCTTAAATGAGAATTAATACAAACGCTTTCCCGACTTGGGCCGACAGAAAGCTGGGGGAGGAAAGGTGACGGCTGGCGAGGCTGGTTTGAGGAGTCACACGGCCATGAACGACGTTTCTGAAAAATTCATCCATAGAAAGAAAGAAAAGTTGTCGTTCGCGTGCTGTGGGCAAAAGCTTGGAAACCAGCCAAAAGCTGAACCAAGAGACTCCCCAGAGAAATAAGCTGGTATTCTTACGCCGAGGCGTGATAAGGCAGCCTGCTCGGGGACTCTTGCGGATGTGTCGCTGGCCTTCATGCAATCGTTACAGATTTCTGAACGTTTGTAGGCTAAATTTTAGGAAAGGTGGGTTGCCAAACTGGCAACGCTTTCTGCTTCTGCCAGGAAATGGTACCAAGAGGAACTTTTGTATTTCCGTTGCCTTTGCTATATACGGAAAGCATCTATCCAATATTCCCGTACAATCTGGCGCGTGCCATTTTTCACTACATGGATAGCTTAATCCTGTCTAACCTGACGGTTTCTTATAATTGTAACTTAAGATTCACATACGGATACTTCAGAACGTTTTGGGATCTCTTGGATCGATATATCTAGACAGCAGCGCTCAGTACTCGGAGCTGCCTGAAATCTCCTGGCGCCCGGACAGGAATAACAGAGCTCCCCGGCCGCATCAAAATCCCATTCCTTGCTGCCCCACGAGGGACTGGGAAGGCTGGGGCGCCTTTTGGGGCCAGCTCCCCCGAAACGCAGCCCTCGAGCCGAAGCCTGCGTCAGGCTGCGTGCGCCAGGAAGGAAATCCCGAGCCAGGCCAGGTTCAGCCCGGGGAGGGAGGGTTTGTTTTCAGCTTCTGCTTCTCTGAGTCAAACCACGAGTAAATCACGTTGTGTCTCGGGAACTTCAGTTCCTGTAATTTCTAACACGACAACAGCGCTGCTGCTGGCTTCGTGCCTTCCTGC